ATAAAAAATACAAATGTTTGGGAAGTTTATATTTATTTACTCCTTAGAAAAACGTGAAATATCAAAGTTATAACACGATATAGTTTTGAAGAGCAATAATTTAGCTTTCCAACGGTTGTAGTAACGTCGACTTAGAAGAAAAACTTGAGGAGTTATGAACATTTTGGTAAACGGTATGGAAAAAATCCTCCCATAAATAACTAGTGTTGTAAAAAAGCTCGGTGAGAAGGTTATAAGGCTTGAACCTTACTTTTTACCATATGTTTATTAATGGACTTTTTAAATTGAAGAACTGTTTGCAATAAATTGTGCCGTTTGTAGTTGATGAAATATAAATATTTTGTAAGGGCTAAAATGACCCGTAAGAGGTTCAGGAGCCCCCCCCCCCATTGATATAAATAAAATAATATAAATACATTGAAGAGAACAATGGTTGGGGTGATCAGTCAAAATAAAAATAGCAAAAATAAATAATAATATTTATTTTTACATTTGCTGACGTTTCGGCCTGAAGTTGAGGCCTTTACCAGGACTAAGAAAAGAACCAGATAACAATAGGTACGAGAAAATATAAACATTGAATAATAAAGAATTAAAATTAAAAAAGGTGAACGGTATAGACTAAAAAATGTAGGTAGAAAGAACTTAAAGTTATAAGGAAGTAGATAGAGTGAACACTAAAGTAAAATAAAGTAGGTAGAATAATAACAGTAACAGAGAACTGAGAAATAAATAATAACAACAGGAACAAAGCACGGTGGATAAGATTTTGATAGTATATCAAGAATTTTATCTGGATTGAGGATTAGGAGGTCATCTACGTATTTTCGGATAATGATATCGTCTGAGTACAGAGGGGTAATGGAGAAACGATATTGGATATGTCAGGATCGAGAGGGTTGCTCCTTTTTAAATTGCTTTACAATAGAGTAAACTGTTCTACATGAGGTTTGTTAGTAGTACTAATTCTTTTGCGGTATCTTGAATTTTAGTTTTAACTGAAACAAAGTCTATTGTGTATTATACTATATAATTCTCCCCCCCACTGAAAAATAAAATTAAAGTAGGAAAAATAACACCCACCTACCCAAACATAATGCCATTTTATCTAAAAAAAAAGTTATATAATAGTATAAATGTCGGTTTATTGAATAAAGACACTAATTACTTTTTTAATGGTGCTGATTTTTTAAGAATATTTTCTAAATTCGAAATTTGGGTAATTCGTCCTCCCACTAATAAAAAAATTAAAGCAGAAAAGTATCACCCACCTACCCTAACATTTTATCTTAAAAAAAATAATTTCAGAGGGAGGTTATCCCCCCTTCTAAAAAAGTCATACATCACCTACCTACCCAAACATATTGCCATTTTATGTTTTAAAAAATTCGAAGGGGAGTATTAAACCTTCTGTTCAAATAAAAAAAAATTTATCACACACCAACTCATAGAAAAAGGCTCGAATGGCGGCTGGAACTTCACTTCTTTTTTCCAATCTATTTATTTACACTATATTTCAAAAATATATTCACATTGTTAATATTAACAAAAAAATAATATATTCACATTGATAATATTAACAAAAAAATAATATATTTACATTGTTAATATTAACAAAAAAATAATATATTCACATAGTTAATATTAACAAAAAAATAATATATTCACACTTTATATTTCGGAAATATATATTCACATTGTTTCAACAAATAAAAATTATATATTTGTTTATGAAAATGTACAATAATTTAATTTTTTTTTAAAATAAATTCACTAAGGCTAGAACCCTATGAGGCTTTAACTCAAGCTTTGGAAGTTCGAGGTTTAAAGGCTCTAGAGCCGAGCCACTCATGTTTAAGAGTTTCAGTGAACCCTAAAAACGAATCTGAATAGTTTTTTCATGACAGAAATTTATTTGACCTACTTTACAGGAAGCATCCATGGTTTTTTTCTAATTTATTATGTATAAAAATTCGTTCAATACAATAAGCAATATGTAATTGGTAATTGGTTGACTGTCGTGGATAATGAAGAGAAGAATAGTTGGGGTGTTCAGTCAAAAAGGAAGGCAAAAATAAATTATAATATTTAAAGTAAAAATAAATATTATAATTTATTTTTGCCTTCCTTTTTGACTGAACACCCCAACTATTCTTCTCTTCAATAAGCAATATGTTTTTCTTATATATAAAAATGAATGTATGTCTGCCTGTTTGTTTGTCCGTTATGCATTACTAAACCATTCATCCGATCGCCACGAAACTTTGAGAAGTTGTTCCATACACTCCTGGGAAGGTTTCTGGCATAGTGCTTCTGTCTTACAATAATTTTATATATGTAAAAAAAATAAAAATTTAAATGTTTTTCTGTTCAAAGCCGCAAAAAAATGTGTCGCTATAAACTGTAGCGCCAAAACGGCTTTACCGATTTTAACGAAACTTGGCTCTAAAGTCTTCCCCTTGAAACCCTTTTAATTTATGTGTATAACATACATTCTCGAAAACAAGCTGAAAAATGTTACGATGAATTCAACATTCATAACGATAACTAAAAAAGTACAGAATTTTTGACTGATAATACCCATATTTATATGAAAGATTTCTTAATTGCTGACAAAAAAAAATCATCGAAATCGGATGGTTCGTTGCCATTTCCTTTTGCATCCTCACTACTGAAGGTAGGCAAGCATTTTTAAAAAAAAATTTTTATTGATTAATCGAAAATTTTATAATTACTACAGTAATTGAAGTTACCATTTGAAGAATATGATTCTCCTTATGAAGGTCAATACTATTATACATTCTTTATCTTAATTTTTTATTTTAGTTTTATAAATTCTACTCAGACTGTTTCTGATGATTATGAATGACGGTGTATTCACTCAGATGATTATGAATGTTCAATTTGAATCATGAGAAAAAAAATCATTAGAATTAGTTTAAATTGAAGCCATTTTTCAGAAAATTTGTTTCCCAACTTTTTAAAAATGACAGATGTCCTTTGCTATTAATCTACTCGTAAGTGCTTTCTATTTTCTTTCTTTTTCATTTTGCAAGGCTAAGCCACAGCAACGCGTGGCCGGGTAAAGCTAGTATTTTATACAAAAACCAAAGATTGATATTCAGAGTGTTTCAGAGTTAAGTGGCCAACCTGCAAAAATGAACTAAGTACCTCAAAACAAGAAAAAAATTTCCTCTGAAGGTGTGTCCGCAAAAACTTTGTTTAGGAGATAATCACACCTAAAGATTTTCTTTGTTATGAATTATTTACGTTATATAAAATAAATAAAACCTATTTATTTGTTCTAACTACTTTATTAATTAATTGTAAACACTAACATTCATATTAAATGTTGTTCAAAGTGAAGCTATGTCCGTAAACGTTTTGTTTAGGAGATATATTAGATAGAATAATAATACGGCCTTTCATCTCTAACTGTATAAAAACTATTAGCAACATAAGGATTAATACTATTTGAAATTAGCATTGGGAACTCTCAATAACATTTATCAATTTGTAAGAGGCTTTCGCAGAGTACTTATCATTATGCCTTTGATTTAAACTAATGGTGAATATGACGATATGGTGTTTGTACACAGTTTTTGCAATGGTAATGCTAATGCTGCCCGTCATGAATATGCCAGGCGATTTCCGAATAGAAGATTACCAAACAAGTCTATCTTTAGCTCCACGTTTCAACATCTTAGACGAACTGGTACATTTTCTATAATAGCACGTGCTGATGGTATTTTGCCCCTTAACGAAATGTAGAAAGGAGTGCGACCATATTACAATATTTTGATGATAATCCATCTGGCAGTATACGAAGAACTGGAACAGAATTAAATATTACGCCAACTACAGTAAGGAAAACTCTCATTGCAGATGGACTTCACCCATATCATTATCAACGGGTAGAAAATTTATTACCTCAAAATTTTCGGTAATAAGAAGAAATTTTTCAGATTGGTACTTAAATCAAGTTGAGCATAATCCACAATTTTCAGGAAAAATTCTCAGATTAGATGAGGCTACCTTTATAAGAAGAGGTATCTTCAATCAGAAAAAATAGACAATAATATAATAGAGATAATAGGTAAAGACAATATAATGGGGATAATAGGTTGTCCTGGACATTACGGAAGAAGTGCACGACAATGGCTAAATGTTAATTACCCCAATCAATGGATGAACCGTGCAGGACCAGTGGCTTGGCCTGCGCACTCTCCAGACCTGACACAAATGGACTTTTTTGTTTGGGGTGACATTAAACAAAAACTCTATGCAAGTCCTATCAATGACCTTGATTCCTTGCGAAGAAGGATAATTGAATCTTGAAAAACAATAACACATATCCAGTGCCATTCTGCCACTGCTGTTGTTGAAAGATGCTGAGCCTGTTTTAATGCTCAAGGAAATCACTTTGAACAACATTTAATATGAATTTAATGAATAAAGTAGTTGGAACAAATAAATAAGCTTTATTTACTCAATATAACGTAAATAATTCATAACAATGAAAATCTTTAGGTGTGAATATCTCTAAACAAAACGTTTGCAGACATACCTTCATAGGATTTTTTTTTCTTGTTTTGAGGTCCTTAATTCATATTTTCAGTTTGGCCAATTAACTCTGAAACATCCTATATAATAACTTATAAATTTGTTCAGAGCAAAGTCAGAAAACAGTAAAATAAAAAAATTATAAAATATTTTTTTCTCGGCTCCTAGGACACATTGGCAAGAACCTTTGGACCTGGGTCTAATACTTTTTGAGCTAGTATCACCAAAAAAAGTTACAATCGGTGACCCCACCTCCGTAACCTCCCCTTGTAAGTCACATTCATTCCCAAGGGGTGTAGGGAATTATTGTGTTTAATATGTTGATTAAAATGTTCAAAATCAAATCAACTCAAAAAGACCTACAGTTGAAATACATAAATCAATTTTCCAATAAAACTTTTTGCGAAGATAGTGATTTCACTTTTAAATTTTTTTACCTGAGTCTCGGTAGAGGATAAGAGATGGGCTGGTTCAGGGATCGCTGTGAGCGGCGGCTGCTGCCCTGGCTCGCGCTCTGTTGCGGGCAATGAGGTAGGGTTGCCTATGAGGGAGGTGGAGTTTTTTGTGGTGGAATAGGGCTGCTTTCCCTCTCTTTCTTCTCCTCTGTAACAACAAACATGGAGTTCATTTCTATTTTGAATAAAAATATTTCAAAATTTCATCATGTTAGAGAAAAAATATTTAATAGCTTCTAAGTAAAAAAAAAATGAATAACTAAGATTGTCAACAGGATTTGGAACCTGTTCCTAAGTAGATCTACAACAGCAACCAAAATGTATGTATCAGTTATATTCCCTACCAAAAAATAATCTTACAAGTGTAGAAAGAAATATGAAGGCATATCGTCCGTTCCAATTTGTGCTTCTAATAAAAATTGGGTCTTCTAAGGGGAGCAGTAGTAGTGTCTTCTCCTAAAAATGTTAAGATGCATTCAATTCCACGACATTTTTTCATTTGCATCTTCAAGAGTTCAATTTTTCTTTTCAGGAAAAACGAAAACCTCCTTGAATAACAAAATGACAGCTTGGTTTTAGATAACCAAAATCAACAATGTTAAGAATTAAACTTGACTGATTACCAAACCCTTCATAAAAACATGCAGCAAAATGAAACCAATTCAGAAGACTTAGTCAAAGAAGATAGGGTGGGTCATTCCATATTAAAACACTAAATGAAAATTAGATTTTAAACCGGTATGTCTCAGATTTACATGATTTTCATAAATTAGTTATACCTAGCTCGTAAATAAGTAATTTTTTTTTTTTTACCATATATCAAAAAAATGTTCATAGATTACAATACTACACCGATGGTAATAGGAGGACAAAACGGCATCTCAGATTAAAAAAAACAAAAACAAAAATAGGCTGTTTTGACGATAATACAAAACATACACAAAAAATTTTATAGTGGAGAAACTATGTAATCATGAGGAAATAAAATCTAGATTTCAAGCAGATTGCATTCACCATATATGCAAGAGCTGATTTTCTCAATTTATACAGTGTTTTGGGATAAAACATTCAATAAATAATATGAATCATATTATTTTGAAAATGTGTAATTGACAAAAATACTATTTTTGAGAGAAAAATGACAACCATAAAAACTCACATATTTTATTATTTGATATTATTGACACTTTTCACATAGGTTTAGACCACGTGTGCCTAATCTTTTTATAACATAGGTCAAAACAAGTATAACTGATTTCAAGCTTTGAGGTTGTTATATTAGATGTTATCAATTAAAAATTCAGCTTCGAAATAAACTATCTACCATCGCATTCTTCTCACATCATCGGTTGTAAATTTGCAAGCATTTCTATGAAACAATGTGAAATTCGGCTATTTTCACAATTTTCAAAAATAAAAATAAAAAAAAGGATGTATTTAGTTAGTATACACATCAGAAAAAAAAGTCATGTAAATCAGAGATGTGGAGATTAAAGACTTCCGATGATTTTATTGAAATATCACCTAATAATGAGTAAATAATTGATCGAATAGAAAGCTTTTTTATAGAAACAATCAAACAGGCAAAAAGGAACAATATGGGAAGCAAAGAAATTCCTAACTTCGGAGTATAGCATTAACATATTAAAACAAAATAAAAAAATCTACTAGCAACAGTTACCAAGCTCAATAAAAATGTAATAACTAACAATTTGCCAACACATGCAGACATAATAAGCATGAATATTCAAGGATAAGATAAATAAAATATAAAAAAATCATTGAATGATTAAAGACTTCCACAACCAATTAGGAAACTAGAATGGGGTAATGTAACATATTGTAAAAATGTAATGCTTTTGCATGCAAGCAATTTTTTAAACCTATATAATAACTAAATAATGATAAATAAATCAACATTTTAAACTTACTCTTTTCTTTTCTGATCCTTCTGAGGGTATTGTTTCCAGGAACTGTCCTACACAAAAAGAAACTGATACTATCCTTTACATAAATATAATAAAACATATCAAATACAGTTTGTGTTATTAATTTATCTAGATCAGTCATAAACACATGCTAAGGGAGGATGAGGGCAAAACTTTTTGTGTTATAAACACTTATTAATAAAAAATATGGTGTGATGCGAGCATCACAATACTATCATTTACCACCACAATTTAAGTAGTAATAAGTATTTTTATAAATATGCAAGTGGAAGTAAAAATTAAAGATAGTTTCATTAACGCAACATAAATGATTTAAAACAATTAATTATCATGTGTTTCCTGCTCATCTAATACGTTAAATTAATGCATTTTTTGTCACATTCTTTCACCTTCTAAGGTTGTATTGTATATTTTAAATACTAATTTTTCTAAATTCTTTAGCTTTCCAACAGTTTTTATACAACTATATTTCTATTTTTTATTGCGAAATGAATTTTCAGCCTGAGAAAACATTTTTCTCTTTTTTTCTTCTAACTTAATCAAACAAGTCTCTTGTAGCAAATATTAATCCTTTTGTCTTAAACATTTAATTATTTTAAACAAACAGATTTAAACATAATTTAGAGGAAGGCGTATGGAAAATTCTGTATTCAATCCATGTCAGACTGTTTCAATAAGGATAAGACCTATGTGATATTAAAAACTGTTCAATTGCACAAATTGATAAGCCAACTTTAATCAAAAGTGCTAGAGGCATTTAAGAGAAATGTGAACAGGTAAATTTTCGTGGTGCAAAAACCATGAATTATCACGAATTCAGGCATTTTCTTCAGATTACTTTTCATAAACATAGCAGAATTTATAGGTAGTACTTTTAATTGATTGTTTGATTTTTGAAAAGAACTCATGGTACACTATGTCGTTAAATTGATAAAAAAAAAACTTAGAATAACCTCCACATTCAACCTAACTAGCCAACTTTTGTTCGGTCTTGGTGATTCAGAATTAGTTTCTAATGTCATACCCATATTTTATCATTTGTTATAACACATTTCAATAGTTCTACATAGTTGTTCACTTTATTTAGAGACTCCTGGGCTACTTTTATTCACCATTGTTTATTGGTGTATTTGTTCAAAACTCAACACTTTTATCATAAATTTTGCAGATAAGCTAATCAGTAACTTCTCTGTTTGTGATTCTGTGATCGTTCAGAAGTGCTAGGGTTAAGGTCTTCATGGCTCTTGAAAACACTTGTACCACTCATAAACTCTAGTTTTACTTGTAATGGACTCATCAAAAGCAATATTCAACATTTCTTAAACTAATTGTATTCCATTTTTGAAATAAAATTTAATGCAAATTCTTTGATATATTTTTCCAACAAATCAAAAATCTACACTCACAAGCAAACATACATAGCCTTCTTCACAACTGATGAGAGACTTATCATCTAATATGGCTACCAGAGTAAAGATGGATTCAAGAAATGTTTAATGACACATCTATATCTATTTTAAAGTACTTGTGTAACGATAATTATAAAAAAATGTCTACAAACATAGTACCAAAATTTGAAAGACATAAAACATTAACAGTACGATGAATTAGCCAAAGAATTATATTTTGTAAAAAACCTTCTGTAATGGATTACAGAAATATCATTACTCAAATAATGGATTTATTATCCAATATTAACATAAGTACACCATAATAATGAACCAGCTTGTGTTTTTGGTTACAAAGTACAATTATCTTTAAAAAAAAAAAGATAATCGATTAACATTTACTAAAAATAAATTCGATAATATATTACACCTTCATTTATGATTCCTGTATTGTATAAATGCGAAGCAATAAGTTGTTTCATTATTTTATTAAATGCTATATTAGATTTCAAAATATTAAATTACCTATAAAGAAACTAGAATAATATGAATATTAATTTACTTATATAATATATTTCAATTCCTGGTATCAGTTGTAGTTAGTTTATGATAAGATGACAGCATGACGACCAACTCGTGCAGCACTTTGTTGAAACTTAAAATTATATTACAAACTTTACCTACCTATCTATACGGCCTCAGAGATTTTTTTTTTTTTCAGAATGAAGGTTCAAAATCCTATTTCCTACTAACAACCAGGTTAAAAAAACAACCAGTACTCAAGAATAAAAATTACAAAATAAGATGTTAAATAAATAAAAATTAAAACTAATAATTAATAATTTAAAAAATGAGGACTGGCTGTAATAATGTAAAACTATGTATACATTTGAGTGTTTTTTATCTACATAAACTCAGAATATAAGTCACAGTTTATTCATGTCCCTCTGCCAATTCATGAGTGTAAAAACTCAAATTACACTCATGCGTGGAAACTAGAGGGCCTGGAATATTGTCAGAGGGAAATTATCAAGTGAATCCTCCTCAAATGTACTTCGCTTTCATCATTGGCCAAAAAGATTAACTTAAATAAAAAACTACAGAGTTCTGTTGGTATGATATCAAAAAATCATAATTAAAAAAAAAAAAATATGGTGTGTGAATTTCATACAAAACTCACCATTAAATTTTTCCATCAGCCATATCATTGATCACCTCAATTTTCTTGTAATCAAGTAATATCAAATAATATAAGCAATATTTAATACTGTAATCATTTCACAGTATTCTGAAACCATTTTTTCTTTTTTAATTTTTAATGCAGAATGTTATCCCTTTGATTCATTAAAAAAAATATACCATATTTATCAACTGAACATAGTAACCCTTTGACTGCAGACAGGATATATGCCTTCTCGTTAAGAGTTAGTTCACTGGTGGGGACGGGATATATACCTTCCAGGTAGTAAGTTGGGTCATTGGTGCGGCTGGAATATAAGCCTTCCCGCCTTCACCATTTGACTCATGGCTTGGTCGGTGTATTCATTAGTTCCTTATAGTTGACTCACTGAGGTCGTTTCGGATTTTCACCATGTTTCCAGCAACGTTGATGACCATGTAAGTTCTTTCTCTGTTATTTGTATCATATCCATGATCTTATTTATATTCTATTTAAATGTTTTATGCATCGAATAAATGTTAATTAGATAATTTTATAATTTTTTTTTTAATTTTGGTTTTGACTGAATGCTGATTTTGGTACAGGAGAATCTCTGTATACTAAACAAATAAATGGGTGTTTCCTACGTTATATATATATATAACGTAATAAATAAACGTAAAAATATACTTTAGTTATTTTATCATTTTTCCATCCACCTAAAAACAATATATATATTTCATATAATATAAAAGTGTTCGAAACTTAAAATAAATGTAAGTGCAATAATAAAACTTATAACTGCACTATTTTCAATATGGAACTTTATTACGTACAAAAAAAATTTTGTAAAAACAAAGAAATACATAATTAGAATCCAGTCGTCGGTGTCTTTTTTTAGAGATAACATAATTTAATTTTTATGATCACTTACAGTTATTTTGCTTTTCAGAAATGAGCAAATACGTGAGAAAGCAAAGTGTTGCATTGCTTTATACGGCCAGGTAGGCATATGTTCCTTGAATAAAAAGGTTAAAATGCATTTTTGAAAGCAGAGTGACTTAAAATAGCATTTTAAACAAATATATATTTTTTATGTATAGATCTCGCAGTCAAAGGGTTAACGGATACAGATTAATATTATGCTACAATTTTTTTTTTTTTTAAACAGGCAACTAAAATTGTTATGAATGAAAAATAAAATCTTAGAACCAAATAATAATTGAACAAAATTGATTAAGGTTAAAAGTCAGTCAAAATTAGATACATAATCATATTAAATTATGTAACTAAAATAAATCTACAAAATGGTTGAAAGATATTAAAAAAAAAAAAAAATTGAAATCAAACAATTTATTTAATACTTAATAAGTTTAAAAATTGTATCATTATATTGCATCAGAATTAACTTAATAAATAAACATATGTAGTAAGTGAAAAGAAAACTAAATCTTACAGATCCTTTGCTCCTGGCAATTTCTTGTTCATAATGAGCCAATTCTTCTATTCGAGTTAAACCAGCCCTTCTATAACGCAATAGTTCCCCCAGGCGTTGCTCAAGTTCTTTTTGTCGCTGAATTGCACGAACTAAAGAGTCATGTTCATCAGCAGTTTGGAACATACACACGCAACGTAATTTCTCTTCGATATCCCTGTAACAAAAACAAAGTATTGATTATTATTTTTCCAAATGCTTTAAGAGCATGGGGATCCATAATATTTTTTTTGGTAAGATTAGATGCACAAAATCAGGTTTGCTGCATTATAAATAGGAATTATGCATGTATTGTAGATAATATGCTGGACAAGCACCTCTGGGTAACATTAAATGTTTTTTTTTAAAGAGAACCAAAGTTATTGTGTGTTTAAAATAAAATTAGTCAATGAATTGATAATTACCTAAGTTAAATATTTGTTTAGTTATTGCAACAAAACGTATGACACTTGTACTTTCTTTATGCGTGGAATCGGACCATGATTTAATATTAACTTTTTTGTACCTCTTGAGGTCTACTATCACTTATATTTCCTATTAATTGAAATGATAAATGTTTAGTTGAAATTAAGATTGATAGTATCAGTGATTTTATATATATTTTAATAAAAATCTGGAAATGATTAGGTAAAGTAGGTTAGGATTAAGTAGCACGAGGGTGATCTGAAAAGTTTCCGACCTAACAAAAATACAAGCTATTCTTCTGAATTTTTTTTTTTATTTTCAACATAGTCTCCTTGTAACTGTACAAACTTCTCCCAGCGATGATCCCATCTCTGTAACCCGTCCAAAAAGTACTCGGCATTTTTCTCTGTAAAATAATTGTTCACGAAAGTGATTGCCTCTTCATTTGACGAAAATCACTGTCCTCCGAGCGAAATTTTTAGATAGAAGGGAACAAAAAGAAGTCGCTTGGGGCTAGATCTGGTGAGTAAGGCAGATGGTCAAGCCGTTCAACCGTGGAGTTCAAACCGTAATTCGTGGATTTAGCCATGGCAACTGCTGAGGTGTGAGACGTTGCGTTGTCTTGGTGAAACAGGATTTTCTTTTTCTGCAAATGTGGCCATTTTTCAGCAAGTTCTGCCTTCAACTTGTCAAGTAATGATGTGTAGTATGCTCCTGTAATGATTTTTCCTTTTTTGAAGATGGTCGATTATAATAACTCTATGACTATCCCAAAAAACAATCGCCATCACTTTCCCAGCCAAGAAAACATTTTTTGCTTTATGGAGCCGGTTCCCTCTTTGCGGTACACTGTATTTTTGTTTTGGGCATATAATGGTGTATCCAAGTTTCGTCTACAGGAATTAATCGGCGCCAACACAGTGCTGGAAATGTTCATTCGAACATATTTTTGGTCTAACGAGACCAAACGCAGCACACAACATGCAGACAGCTTTCTCAAATCTAAATGTTGATTTAATACGTAATAAACACATTCTTTTGACATGTTCATAACCTCTGCTATCTCTCTCACTTTAATTCGGCGGTTGTTTAGCACAATTTGGAGAACTTTGGCGATGTTTTTGTAGGTAGTTGAAATTTTTGGACGTCCCGAACGTTCATCGTCTCTCAAGCCCTTACAGCCACATTTAAATTCAGCTGCCCAAAATTCCATTGTGGTAAATGATGGTGCAGAGTCCCCATACAAAGAATCCAACTCATCTTTGAGTAGGCATATTGCCTTTCAAACACAAATATTTAATGACAGCTCGATACTCAATTTTCTCCATTTACACAAAAACACTCCCATCAACACACTTAAATGACTGTTACATAAAAACTGCACGTCCAAAATGGCTGAAACTTTGGTGGGTAACTTTCAACAGATGAACAACCAAATTCACTTGCTTTTATTTACAAGTGCTGCCATCTTCACATTGAGATCAGTAACTTTTCAGACCACCCTGGTATAAATAGTAGCGTTTTTGGAATTGTATAATATTTTGTTTTTTTTCATTATTTGGAGTAAATATAAAATCTAATGTGCTGTGTAGATGTGTGAAGATGAAATTTTTGGACATATCAGACAATAAATTAGAATGGAAGCTTGTTTTTACTTTCATTTACCAATATATGTAATATATAGTAAGTATTGCGATCTTAAAAATTTTCTTATCTGAGTTATCAGAAATACACGTCTTGAGGTCCCCTGAGTCCAAAAAACCTAGTCTCGCAAAATGGTCTGTGTGTATGAAAACACATTAGTTCAAAAACGAAGAGTCGTACAAAAATAAAATTTTGTATTTAAGGTTTGTATATGAACGTGATGTTACAGCAACTTTTTCGACAAAATCAGCAACATTTTTAGTCAAAAATCGTCAAGTTATATATACACACACACACACACACATTTTTTTTTGTTGTATGGGAAGCTATAACTAAATAAATACTTAATTTAAGTAATTAAAAATGGCTATATATATATATGTATATATATATATATATATATATATATATATATATATATATATATATATATATATATATTTAAGTAAGTCATGATTTTTGATAAATAGAAAGCGATAACTGAAGAAATATTTACTTTAGGTGAACCTCAATAATTTACCTAATAGACATAAATTTAATTAATATGGACTTGAAGCTTATTAAACGTAGAAGTGTTTCTAAAAGTGGGGTATCTGTAGTACTGTTGGATGACAAAAAAAAAACTGGGTACATTTTGTCTAGCCCCTGATTGCTATCTGCCAATGTTTATAACCTGAACACTGATAACTCCCACAACGCAGTGATAAGCCTTCTCCTACTTCATATTTTCGTATAATTGTATTAAATTCGTATTATTGAAAGTGTTATGAATGAACTCATACATGAACACATCAAAATGAAATCATAAAAAAACATTTAAAAGAACATTTTTACATAGAAAAGAAAAAAATATCAACACTATAAATAACATATGTACAAATTATTTTCACTTCCTTTTGTCTTATTTATTTTGGAAGGCAAAATTGTTTTATGCTATTTAAAATAACGAGGAACGGGTCTTCTTCCCTGTGAACCCACCGCCACAAAAATTCGCACAAATATGAATCGAGGTGTTGTCTGGCAGTTCCTCTATGTACTTTATTTCTCCACTTCGCTGAGCCCCATAATCATTCTATGTGTTGAGTATGAACCCCAGTTAATGGATCGACAAAATTATACCAGTGATTCACTTGGAAATGTTCATAGTTTGCTTCGTTCAGTTGTCGGGTGTTGTATCCTTTCCAATAGGCCGAATAAATGGTCGTTCCCTCTTCTATTCTCTTGTTAATAATATATAATTGTATATTAGTTTTGGAAAATGGTCTGTAGCGATTAATAAGTATGCTGTGTTTAAAGCAACCCAATGTAATTGGGCAGCACCCTTTTATGATAATAAAGTGATTCTCTCTCTCTTCTTTAATTGCTTGTAATAAGGTTGTTGCCTTTCTGTCAATTATTTTGACGATAAAACATTCATCATTTTCTCGGCAAACTCCAACAAACATCCACTGCTGAGATAAAACTCTCCCCACATGATTTTTTCGTTTAGAAAAAAGAATTTCGTCTACTTCAACCACTTTGCCAGGTCCTCCAATTTTGTTCTTGGCCAGCATAACATTTCATGGGCACAAACTTCTCTTAGACATTTGTTCCACGTTACCATAGCTCTGTAGGATAGTTTCAGCTGCTCTTTGCCCCACTTCATCGTTGTAAAGCTATGGGACCACCCATAAATCAATTTTAAAGCTGTTAAAAACGAAATCCTCGAGACCTCCAACCATGTTCCTTTCCTTATTGAAAGTTTTGTGTCACAAGTCTTACGAAAGCATCTCCATTTAGCCTTCCTGGTTAAGTCTTACGAAAGCATTTCCATTTGGCCTTTCTGGTTAACTTCATTCGATAACCTCGTTCACACAATTTCAGGTCGGCAAGTAACCCAACATTTTGAAAATATTGAATTGCTTGTTCTTTTGAAGACGGCAAATCCCATATTCTAAGAAGATCCACAATATGACGAAAATAAACGGAAAAAAAAAAAATGAAAAATAAACACAAAGGGGCCAAAAACTAAAAAAAATGTAAAATAAACACAAACAGGCCAAAAACTAAAAATAATGAAAAATAAACCCAAACGGGCCAAAAGTAAAGAATTTAATAAGTGAGCGTAATAAGCGAATAACTGAAAACTAAACAATGCAAGAACTCAAAGGTTTGGCGGTATAAGAAGAGGGAGGTTATGTGACGTGACGTTAGATAAGATAGATTGTATGCATCAGCTAGACAAAAAGTACCAAAAACTGCAAATAATTTCATAATGGTTTATTATTTCCAAACAATTAATAAAGCAAGTTTACGGTCTAAAGTAACATTACCTTTCTAGTGACAAAGAAAAAGAAATAAAAGGTGAATCCAAACATCTAGAGACCATATCTTTGCTCCTAATTGTTCAATTTCAACGATTTTTTTTTTTTTTGGGGGGAAATTCCGCAAATTTTTAAATAACCATATACAATATCTAAAAAAAAGTGCATACATTTTGTGAGTTATTCGGAATATAATTTTACCATTCTGCTTAACTTTTTTTTCAGCTTCTTTTCGTTGAAGTATGTTATATAGATAAATTTAAAGGGCATCGAGAATAAGACTTTAGCAAAGTTTCATTGAAATTGATACATTCGTTAAAAGCGCTACAGTATGCAGCACCACAGGTTTTTCGGCCGCCATCTTGAAAGGAAAAGGCGGATAGAAATGTCGATGAAGGAGGATCATCCTCGGGTGATCTCTAATTTTAAATCCAAATTTGAAAAAAATCGGTCCAGTAGTTTCGGGAAAATGCGCGGACGGCGGACTGACAAAATTTTTTTTATTGGATTTTTGAATTCCACGTATCCTGAAACGTAAAACCTCAAATTTTGAGAGAGGATTAAGTTTTTTAATTTTTTGGTCGATCACAATGGTTCATTATTGAAAATAATAAACCAAAATCGAAAATAATTTATGATTTTTTAAAACTCGAACTCAGTCAAGTTTACCTGATCAAAAGTCCTCTTTAAATGGTTTTAACAATCACAAGCTCTATTATTATTTGAAGAAAATTTTATCTAGTTTACAGTGAAACAATTGTCAATTACTTCAATTAAATTTTTCATTAGTTACCGCTTCGTATTTATCAAAAAGTGTGACTTACTTAAAAAAAAACCACTAAACTAGCATTTCCTACTTTTCTGCTGAGAATTGGCCCATTGTTTGTATGAACTTTTTTGTAGCTCTTGAGGCCTGCTATTACTTATGTAAAAATTATTTATTTGCATTTGTAAACCTATTTTTATTTGGAAATCTAAGAAACTAAAAAATATAAACTTCGATTTTAACAATAATAAATATTATAATTTTACAAACTAATGATTTTTTATTTAAAAAAAAAATGCAAGCCTTACTGTTCCATGCTATTTTTTCGTCTATAATGCTTGTCCTTTCTGTCCGCAAAAAATTTTGAAACTAGCTGGTAATCTCGACAAACTTCCTTCATTCTCGCTCGCTCACGTAATTTTTCCATATACATGTCAACATGAACCAGTTTTAAGGCTGTAAAAGAAAAAAATGTTGTTATAATAATATTCATATGGCACTTAAGACCTATTAATGTAGTCTTTGAACATAAATAAATTATTACAGGTTTACAAAGTATTTATCATTAAAATTGAAAGTGAGATATGAGGATACCGGTATGGTACAAAAGTTAGAAAGTCCAGTAGCTAGTTGCTCGTAACTGGAAGTTCTAACTAGACCAAAACTGTTTACAATACAACTTATTGAACATTTAGTTAACAATTTGTATAAGGCAGTTAATTTTTAATAAGGAAAAACCATAGAACTATAAATGAAGTTCAAGCCTTCATGTTCATCATCATGTTCACACAACAAATTTAAGTTGAGTAATTTCATGAAAAACAGATGTTCTTAATTCAAATAGAAATACATCACATTTATAAATACTTAGCTAATAAGTAACATACATAAAAGAATAATTGAATGAAACAATAATTAACAAATTTTATATTGTCATATTTTGTCAAATAGCATTATTTCAAACTTTAAAGAATTATAACAAGAAAAAGTAAAATGTTTCTTTTTTCTCATCTTCCTTAAGTTTTCAGATATAGAGGTTTTTAGATGGTGGAAAATAATTGCCAGAGTTAAAAGTCCTCGGCACAGGGATTTGTACTAGTAACCTTCATTCTATCAGGTTGCCTGGCAATACATATTTTGCACACACATTAGCCTGCTCGCCCATCCAGCCACATAGGAAAATGACATTTTCAAGCACAGCATAAAACTGAAATTAATTGTGCATTTAAACTGATTGTTCTTATCAAAGTAGAATATACTTGGAATAAATTGACCTGAAACGATCTTCAACATAGAATTGGGACAGATGTTATATCATCATAAATTAAAAAAATATGGAAATAGATCGGTCACATCCTAAAGAAATATAAATTCATAAAGACTTACTTACTGGATAGAAAGTCACAGTACTCGACAATGGAAAAAAATGAATGAATCTCAATAACATCCATTTTAAAGGTCCTTTGTGACAAACTGACAAGTCTACAATTATTAATACCAATGTCAGAATTTAAGTAGGCTCAAGTAAGATTAAATGCATAGTTTAATATAATGCAACAGTTTAAAGTATCCTTAAAACATATAATTCTTCATCTGATAAACTTTCTTCAAAAGAATTTTCTTGAGATGAAATCATATTTGTAGCCGTCTTCAAAAATGTAAAAAACAAAAACACTACACTAATACAGTGGGCCAGAATACCCTCTATCATCATCATGCGCCCTCTCCCCCACATTCCTATAAATTGCATATCATTGTGTTCCTTGTAACTATTTATTAAAAATAAGCCAATGTTCCCACAAAAAAAGTGAGTGAACTGCCACAAAATGGCGTCCAAACATCTGACGACTTTGACTTTAGTTAGTTTTTTGACTTTAGTTACTGAGAATCAGAATTTGGCTTAATTTCGTCATTATTGGCCCTTTATTAAAGCTGGATAGTCAGAGAATAAATAAACATGAAAAATTATTCAAAAATAATTGGCTTAGGCAATAAAAAACATCAGAAAAGTAAATTTTTCCAACAAAAAACTTATCAAATTGAAAGTCAAGCGTCGTTTGTAATTAAATAACCAACAATAATGGAAAACATGCTGAAATAAAACATCTGGAGAAGATATTTTTCTTTCTAAAAAACTGATTACTTTTTAAAATATTTGAAGTGGTTCCGTAGAAAAATCACTTCATCCGCGGAAAAGCGATACTGGCTACTGCCTTCAGGCCCCTGCCATATCATTCAGTACTCATAAGTGGCATAATTATACTGTGATAACATTTTTGGTACATTATATTGATTGTATCAATGAACAAATATTAATGTAATAATTTAATTGTCCAAAAAAATTAACTTTTTTTTTTTTTTAAATGTTACTTCCATTATTCTATTCTATATGGAGGTCATTTAAAAATGCCTCTATTCTAAAAATGATATAATTATAATAATAAAACTGAATTCAAAAAGACTTTGCTGAAAATCTTAAATTTTTTATTCAACGTTTGCAATTTAACATTTTGTTTTTTATATTTACTGATTCTACGAGATAAGTTAAATTGTATATACTTTCCCGGAATCGAGCCATATCAATAACTGTTTTATAAACTAAAATATATACCTAATCTGAACTACATCTACATGTAATGAATATTTACCAGGTTGTTTAGTAAAACTCATATATCATTAATAAAAAAATTAATTTCATTTTTTTATTTCTTTTATTTTGTTCAGAAGTAATCATAAAAAAAATAGGAAATTTTAATATTTATTGCTTTATTCTCTTTGTACAAAGAAAGATATAAAGGGCAAAGCTATATGTTCTTCTTGGTAACCGGGACTAATTGTTAGTATTTGGCCTCGAAATGAGAGAAAACACGAAATTGAACCGAAAAATTGGAAAAATACATAAAACGAACAAGGAAAATTTTGACAAAATCTTGAAAAAGAAAATTAGGATCAGTATCCATTATATGGCTAAAGGAATATGTAGTAGACACATGAACAGAATATTTCAAGGAGTTGTTAAAAGGGGTTCAAATGGTGAGGCAGTTTGGATGATATTAAGGAGATGATGGAGATTTATTATGGTGAAGACCATTTTATCAGCAAGAAGGTTTGTTAGAAGTAATTGGCAAGTCAGTAGGTCTGGAGAAAGTACACCAAACTGCTGCTTGTATATAGGCAACAAATGCGAAGATATATTTCTTCACTCATCAATGTATATTGAATAATATGCTATTAGAAAATGATATGATAGGACTGTAGTTTTGTCCCTTTATAAGGAAGGAGATACCAGGAAATGAAATATCCATCGAGATTCATTCCTGTTCAATGTACCAAAGCTCTAATCATTTTATAAGGTAGAATAAGAAATATTGTAATAAGAAATATAACAGAATATTGTATTAAAATATGAGAGGAAAAATTTATGATACAAAAGAATTTAATTTATCAAGAATAAACTGTATACCTAGATAAGTTCTAAAACACTCTAAGAACCAGGCAGCTGATATGTTAAATTTAACACAAATATTTTATTTTTAAGGACAGTCCCGAAATGGAACAGCAATATTATACAGTTATTATAATGATCAATTAAACAAATTTACGACAATATATTTACCTATATCCAAATCATCTTCGTCTGTACTACTAACATTCAATTGTGATACCAGTGATTCTGCTTCATTTTGATACTCCTAAAAATCAATGATTTCATTTTAATAACCATTATGAAATGAGGCAATTTCTGCATCAAATAAATTTTTAGTTCTAGGAAATAAAATTAATTATAGGTCAAATTTGTTTTGATATAAAGTCTTCATAAAATTACAGCCTCAGAGCCTGAAGATTATGGCAGTAAGACATTTTGAAAGAAAAAATCCAAGCAATTACAATTATGAATGGTTAATAATAATTATTGGAGGAAGTTAGTTGACTGTTCTACATATCATGGGTGATAAATATTCAGGACACAGTCATTATAAAGTTTTTATTAGTGCCAACGTTTCAACCCAAATATGTGGGTCATCATCAGGGCATGTTCCGAGCACTGAAGGTGTTCAAATACTGGATCACCATCAAATTCTGGATCAGTACTTAAATACCTTCAGTGCTCAAAACGAAAAACAATGCTTGAATTGAAACGTTGGCACTAATAAAAACTTTATGACTGCATCCTGAACATTTATCACCCATGTAAATAATCATTATAAATATCAGCTTGAATTGAAAAAATAAAACAAAAAGCAAAATAAGAAAAAACACAAACCCTTTCGAAGTCACCTCTCTGAGGCATATAGCCAAGTTGAGCAGCTTCTTTTGACGATACATCTAGAGGTGGAAGATATGAGTTAGGGGTTTCTTGTGGCTGGCCAATCCCCAAGTCTTTTAGTTTAGCTCTCCTTTCATATGCAGGCTGCCAGGTACAATGCCCAATGTTACCATCAACATAATGAGCCATGTATTCATCCCTCACCTCTGAAATCAGAAAAACATTTTGCTTGTAGGTTATTCATTAAAAAGATAGTATTAGTTTACATGAGTTCCCCATGGATCATGTGTGCTTCACAATCACTTAGGTCACACTTGTTCATGAACTGCCAAATGCGTTTGGGTTTATCCGAAAGAGAACAAAGGCAACCGATCTTTAGAGTCAGTTACTATTATAACTTTCCCTCCATTTAAGTACTATAACCTTAACCATGTTCAGTTCTACAGTGGGAGCAGACATGTATTAAATATTTAGGCTAGATTATGTAACCTTAATCGAACTTGTATAAATATTATATAGCTGTGGAAAAGAAATAGTAATAGATAAAAACCTTTAATTATTATATCTCTGAATGCTATTTCACGATATTATTTTTCTTATTGATGATTTCCATTATTTATTATCTCGGAATTATCAGATATTCTTCGTCAGTCGTTTCACTAATAGGATAATTCCTTCCTCGAAAATAAACATAATTTCACGAATCACTACATTAAGTCCCCATTTTCGGATTACTTAGCAAAATAACTACAAATAACAATAATTATGCAGCTAATTCACTAAATAAAATAATAGTGACTAAAACGAGAAAATAAATTTTAAGTTAACAGTATAGTCGAACTAACTGGCAGATCTACGGGTCCCACTGGGATTGGACATTATTGGAATAAATATTTATCTATATGGCAATTAATAGGTACATTTTATTTATTAATATTGTTCACTTTTCTCACGCAATCTTAAATCCGACATTATTTTCATAAAAAGCGTCCTTGACAACTTAATATTAATAGTGGATCTCTATATCTAAGAATTCAAAAAAGATACATAAACTTGATGATCAATCTCAAATCAGATAGTATTTGCATAGAAGGCGTCCTCACTAGAAAATGGTGGACCCTCATATTATTAGAAATCCAAAAAGTTACCTAAACTATATAGACGATTGCGCAATTCTAAAAAAGGCTTATAAATTCAATTATTCCAACTTATATTGAAAAACTCGAATAACAAACAAAAAGATAATAGATAACTTCAGATTATTTATTATACAAATGATAAATAAAATCTTATATGCACAGTTATAAAAGATAATATACAACAATATATGAGCATTTACAGCCACTACATGAAAGCATGTGTCAATAAAAATTTTATTTCTAAAAGCATTTTTTTTTTTTTTTTTTGCAGGCGTTGAAGGTCGACTTAAACATTATATATATTTCTTTTTCAGTAATAATCGTTATGATAAAAATGAGTAATTAACAAATTATTAAATATATAATTCGTTAATAAATTGTTAAAATAAGGAAGTTCGGTACTAGTTCACAAGAGTTCCGCACGGATTACGCGTGGTTAACAATCACTTTGATCACTCTTGTTCATGGAATCCCAAAAACAGCCGAAAGTTGTCGTCTTTCATGACGTCAGCTATTGCCCCAGCATACAATTCCTTTTCATGCATTTTTGAAAGAAAAAAAAAAATTTATTCCCTTAATGGAACTTCCTTATTAACAATTTATTAACGAATTGTGAATATACTAATTAGTTAATTATTAATTTTTATTATAACGGTTACCACTGAGAAAGAAAAAGAAAAAAATACATAAAATAATCTTTGAGTCGTTTCTTCAAGACCTGTTAAAAAAAAAATGCTTTTAGTAATAACATTTTTGTTGACACATGCTTACATGCAGCGGCTGTAAATACGCATATACTGTATATTATCTTTTATAATTGTGTATAAAATTTTGTTTATCATTTGGATAATAAATAATTTGAAGTTATCTATTATCTTTTTATTTGTTATTCTGGTTTTTCAATAGAAGTTGGAGTAATTGAATTTATAATTTATTTTAGCAAGCCTTTTTTAGAATTGCGCAATCGTCTACATAGTTTATGTAATTTTTTAGATTTTTAAAAAATCCGAGAATCCACTATTTTCTAGTGGATGGGGGGAGGTGGACGCTTTGTATGCATATACTATCTGATTTGAGATTGAGCATCGAGTTTATGTAATTTTTTTTTAATTCTTAGATAAACGGATCCACTATTTTCTAGTCGTCGGAACATTTTATGAATATACTGTCGGATTTAAAATTGTTCGTTGATGTTTTGTAGATTTTTGGATTTCTTAGATATACGAGTCCACTCTTAAGTTGTCAAGGACGCTTTTTATGAAAATAATGTCAGATTAAAGATTGCGCGAGAAAAGTGTACAACATTAATAAACAAGATGTATCTATCAATCGTTATATAGATAAATATTTATTCCGAAAATGTCTAATCCCAACAAGACTCGTAGATTTGCCAGTTAGCTAACTGTTAACTTAAAATTTATTTCTTCGTTTTAATCGCTATTATTTTTATTGAATGCATTAGCTGCATAATTATTGTTATTCGCAGTTATTTTTCTTGGCAATCCCAAAATGGCGATTATTGTAGTCATTAGTACAAAAAATAAAAAATAAATAATTTATTTTCGAGAAAGAAATAAACGTATTGGGAAAATAACTGGCAAAGAATATCTGATAATTCTGAGATAATGAATAATGGAAATCACCAATAAGAAAAATAATATCGTGAAATAGCATTCAGAGATGTAATAATTAAAGGTTTTTGTCTATTACTATTTCTTTTTTACAGATCTATAATATATGTACAAGTTCAATTCAGGTTTTATAATGATGTGCAGTCTAAATTTCGAATTAAGTCGGCTTCTTCAATATAACTGAACATGGTTAAAGTTACAGAAGTATTTCAATGGCGGAAAAGTTAATAGTAACTGACTCAAGAGATCGGTCGCCTTCGGGATTCCATGAACAAGGATGACCGAAGTGATTGTGAACCATGCGTAATCCGTGCGAAACTCTTGTGAACTATGACCGGAAGTTCCATGAAGGGAATACGGATTTTTTTTTCTTTAAAAAATGCATTGAAAGAGACACAATTCCTGGTGGGGGCAATAGCTAGCATGATACTAGTTCACAAGAGTTCTGCACTGATTACGCATGGTTCACGATCACTTCGGTCACATTTGTTCCTGGAATCCCGAATGCATTCGGGTTTATCCGAAAGAAAACGAAGGCGACCGACCTCTTGGGCCAGTTACTATTAACTTTCCCGACATTTAAGTACTTCTATAACCTTAACCATGTTCAGTTATATAGCAGGAGCCAACTTACATTCGAACTTGAATTGAACTTGTACATATATTATAGATCTGTAAAAAATAAATATTAATAAATAAAAACCTTTAATTATTACATCTCTGAATGCTATTTCACGATATTATTTTTCTTATTGATAATTTCCATTATTCATTATCTTGGAATTATCAGGTATTCTTCGTCAGTTGTTTTCCCAATACATTAATTCCTTTCTCGAAAATAACTAAACTAGATAGACCATTGCGCAATACTAAAAAAAGCTTGCTAAAATAAATTATAAATTCAATTATTTCAATTTCTATTGAAAAACTCGAATAACAAATAAAAATATAATAGATAACTTCAAATTATTTATTAATCAAACGATAAAAAAATCTTTTATACACAGTTTATGATCATCATAACTAATTAGTAAATACACAAATCATTAATAAGGAAGTTCCATGAAGGGAATACGTTTTTGTTTTCTTTCAAAAATGCATGAAACGGGATTTTTGTGGCAATAGCTGACGTCATGAAATACGACCACATTCGGCTGTTTTCGGGATTCCATGAACAAGTGTGATCGAAGTGATTGTGAGCCACGCGTAATCCGTGCGGAACTCTTGTAAACTAGTACCGCTAGCATCATAAAAGACGGAAACATTCAGCTGTTTTCGGGATTCCATGAACAAGTGTGATCGAAGTGATTGTGAACCACGCGTAATCTGTGCGGAACTCATGAGAACTGGTACAAAAAATACTTTGAAACTTGTTTACAATTATCGTCTGGCAGACAAGTGGGCCAAGATCACATTGATCACACTGTAGAAAATATTGTGAAGGTATGTACAAGCAAACATCCTGACCTTAAATATAACAGAACCGTTGTGGGTTCATTTAGCCCTTAAATGAATGTACCTAAGAAAAGTAAGAACCTACCTTTCAACACTAACCTACTTATGCATTAATCTACAGTATGATTTAAGTGATCTTGACACACCTGTCAACCAGGGTTTTCGAATTGACATGAAAACTAGAATAGCTGTCCTATAACATACTAAACATTACAAAAATAAAATAATTACCGTCTGCTGTCCTTGTTTCGATCCGTTGACTGATTTCTTCCCAATTCCCAAAGCCATACTGCTCTATTCCATTTAACAGCTGCAATTCTTCCCTGGCAGTCCATTTGTTTTTACTTCGAAATATTTCTATAGCTCCAGGATCCTGAATGAAAATTAATTAGTCATTGATAATACTATATTCCATATATTTATAGATGAGAAAAGAAAGAACTTACCACAAACTGATATGAATGGTCATTCTTATGAGGGCCGATTTCAGCCCCTACTGAAAAACACTGAAAAAACAAATTTGTAAGAAAACCAGTTGTTAATTGGAAGGATCTTCAGTTTAAAAAAGAAGTGACTGGGAGGTTATAGTGTTGTTTGAAAACAATGAATCAACCGGTAATTACAAATTGAATTAATAGTACTCTCAGAATATTAATGACAGTTTATTAGATAACTAAGAAATACTTGAATGATAAGGATAAATCCTTAGAGGAATAGGCAGTTTTCGAAAAAAAAAAATCAAGAAATAAGAAATCCAAGTGTTATCAAACTTCAAACTTTGATAACATAATACCCTTGTAAATAAATCGTATGGATTACAGATTGGACAATTAACAGTTTTAATTTAAAAATTAAGTTCTAAATTTAAAATATATCACTAAAACCGATAAAATTAATTTATGATGAAAATAATTCATAATTAGTAAACAAAATTTTAACCCTGACTAGGTGAGTCAGTCATGTGACATATTTGAAAATCCCACTTATCAGAGGGGGTTCCCCTCGCACAAGCGCGTCATACCTGGAGACATAAATCGAAGTCTTTGCACTCAACACATTTCACTCTAACTCCATTAATTTCATCGAGACAATACGTGCAACTGTATTTCGCAAACAGATCTGAAACCAAAGAGGGTTTACGTTACATAAAATAGACATTACGAACAGTTCATACAACAAATAGCCACAATGAGTTCCTACCGGCCGCCATCTTTGTTTTGGCCTAGCTTCAATAAGCCAACTTCAGTTGATCCGTTGCTGTTATGATAGTTCAAAATAAATAAATTTGTTTGAAAGTAATAATTGTTATTAACACTTCAAGAGTTCTATCATAACTTTTCTAAAAACTTGCTCTCTCTATTCTAAAGATGAATACAAATTATGAAGTCAAAGTTGCTTAGTCACTGAAAAGAAAAATATTAAAATTAATGAAATGTCATTACGAACAATTTAAAACTAGTTTGAAACAATTTATAAATATTTATTGTTTCTTAATATTAATGTTGTTTTTAATGAAGAATGTTAAATTCAAACCTACTTTGATTTGGCTAACTAAAAATAAGAATGGGGGGGGGGATGAAAACTCAATGTTACGTATTCAGGAGCTATACATCACAAAATTATTAATCATTTTTTTTTCTGATCCTCCTTTATTTGAACTTTATTTAAACAATGAGAACATTTAGTGTAGAAATATATTTCTACTTGCTAGGTATTTTTTAAATTTTGTGTCAAACAAGTACCGAACATTTAAATCTAACAGTTCAATCGATTTTAATAAATAGCCGGGAAGCGACGAGTAATGAGTTTTTTAATGTTCCACAAATCAATTATTGCAAAATTTTTGTTTTAATTAGGTCAAAACGATTTGTTGTTTCATTGTGATATCATATCAAGTGAGAATAAGTAATTTATGGTCAATAAATTTTGGAACATGAGAGTAATTTTAAATTGAATATAATGAAGAATATTTTGAAGGTATCTATGTGCATCATAATACATTTGATTTTAATAAAAATTCCCTGCTTTATTTTAAATTGTAACTAAATTGGCTGTATTTGTTACACTAAAAGCCCCGATTCACTTTTTCTTATTTTCTAAACATTATGCATATATTATTATTTTTTTTGTTAATTCTGATTTATGTATAATAGTTTTAAATTGCCACTATGGATACCCATTTATAGAAAATTATTTGTTATTACTAATTTTCGTTATAAACAAATTTAAACTAAACTTAAAAAAAAATAACATGGTTTAATTCAGTGTAAATGTAAAAAAAAGTTCAATATGTTGGAATAAAAGTAACTGAATAATGTTAGGGACAGATGAATTATAAGTTTTTAATTGTTTAAAAAAAAAGAGTAGGTTTTATTTTACACTCTGAGAGTTGCATTTTCAGTTATTTGAAAAAAATAATAAGATATATATTCATTGAATGCCAAAGGTATGAGATATACAATATTTAACTGTAAGGCAGCCAATAATTATATTTAATAATTGTTTCACTCGATTATTTTTTTAGATATGTAGTATTAAATATAAACTGAATATATTTTTTTTAACTTTTATCAAGATCTTGAATATTAAAATTTTTATGAGATTTAATCACTAATTATTAGTCTCTATATATCAAAAGTGCTGTGATAAGCTTTGCTCTATATGAAATTCAATACCTAGATTTTTTTTGTTATCTTATTCTTGCTGATAGGGACTAGTTCTAACAAAAGTGGCTTTATCAAACAGTTAATGAAATGATTACATTCAGAAACATGTAAATAATAAAAAACCTTATTCAATTGTCACTGTGTTGCAAAAAGATAACATAATTTGTTAGTATATTACTTACAAAAACAAAAAAATTAAATAAATAAAATTATTGGAATTCATAGAACTAATACATTGAGTTTTACAAATAAGTGAGATACATATGTATTTTCTTTTTTATCAGGGTTAAATGATTGATTTTACTCCAAATGTCAAATTATAAAATAAATAGTTTAATTTAATCATTAGCACTGAAAATTAAAAATATTTTAAAATAATGAATGCTTTGACTTAGTCAATGTTGTATCTATAAAAGCCAACAGATAGGGATCCTTGTGTAAGCAAGGTTTTGAACGAATATTTGTGTATTTATACCCAAACTTAATATTTATTAAACTCATATGCTTAAGCAGCTGGGAATTAAGTTTATATCAGTAGTTAGGAATAAGAGATATCCACGTGAAAGTTATTTTGTGAAGAATACAATTTATTTTAGTAAAAAAGAAAATCTAGAAGCACATAGACAGAAAAATTACATTTATTTAACATAGGTTTATGCTTTTCATAATTTTAGAATTTTAAATAAAACAAATAAATGTCTGCTAAAGATTTTTACTTTTCAGAGTTCCAAGATCCAAGAATTCCTCAATGCAACCTCTAAGATGAACTATTTTCATAAACATTATTAAAATCAGATTAAAAATTTGTTATATATATATATTGCATCTAAAGAATTTAAAGCCCTCACTAGAGGTAACCGTGTTGTGAAAAATATAGACTTAAGGAACATTTCCAAACATTTTATTTTATAATTAGTTGTTTAATACAATTTATCATGAACCACAGTCTTTTTTTTAAAGTGATTTCACGAGGATTAATATAATTTTACTAATAGTGGAGTTTTCATAGTTTAGAATCAAAATTGATACAAATACACCTAAGCATTCATATCCGAATTTTATTTTTATAAATCTTCAAAAATAATTTTTTTACTTTCACCGTTTTTGAAATTAAAAAAAAAAAATGATCTATAAATCTTAAAAATAATATTATTTCATGTTTCATACAATAAATAGAGAAATGGAATAGATATACTTTTTGTGAAGCTTAAGTAACATTTTAATATTCATATATACAATCAATTATATATTTTTTATTCTTTTCATGTTTTTTGCCTTCTGAGAATTTAAGATAAAATGGCCTAAAATACTTTGAAAAACATTTTAATTACATTAATTTTTTTTATTCATTTAACATTTTATGCCATTTGCATCTGCGCTGCAGCGCACCTAGCGAATTTTCACGTAGAAGACATTAGCCTGCGAGTTTGCTTGGTTATTTTTTTCTTGTTATTAATGTAGGAGCAGGTCTCTAGGCCATTTTCTTTTTAGTCTGCATCAATCAGGTAACAGAGAGCAGGAAATAGAAAGGACTTATGAATTGATGTGATTTAGAGTTGAAGAATGAAATGAATTGTATTTGTCATGGATGTAGGATTTTACTGTTGGGATGTTTAAGTCGTTATGTATAGTGTTATTTGAAATGTACCAAGGGGCATTGACAGTTTTTCATAGAATTTTTTATTGTAATTGTTTGTACTTTATTTATGTGTGTTTGTTTTGTTGAACCCCAAAGTTCTGCGTTCCATGTGCCTAAGTCCGTATCAGTATGGTGTTGTAGATCAGTCGCTCATTTTGTAAGTTAAGTGATGATGTGTAGTCCAGAAGATGTGAGGGTTGGTTATATCCTCTAGTCAGTTCTTGATTTTTTAATTTAGTATGTATGTTCCAGGTAAGTCTTTTGTCTAAGTAAATGGATTTGCTACTGTTTATTTATATTTTCTATTTTTGGAACCAGTTTTGAAGATCGTAGAGGCGGTTTTGAAGGGCGATTGATGCGATGGTAGGATTTTTGTGGGTAGAAAGAATTGCAGTGTCTTCAGCGAAGCAATAGATGGTGGTGCTAGGGTGCTCAGGCCTATCAGAGGTGTATAGCGAATAGAGGATTGGACTTAAGGCGCTACCCTGTGGTACGACAATTTGCTGCGGGAAGAAAGAGGAGTCGGAAGAATCTACGGAAACACAGAAAAACCTGTTAAGAAAGAAGGATTGAAGAATTAAATAAATAAGTAGAAGGTAAGTGCGGTTTTAATTCCCATAATAGGCCCTTGTGCCAGACACTATCAATTGCTTTCTCTATATCAAGGAAGACCGCAGAGCAGTATTCCTTTTTCTCAAAAACAATGGAGATAGCCAATTTTCTAACCAATGGAAAACTGCAAAAATAATTCTGCTTTATAAAAAGGGCAAAAAGCATGATATAGAGAATAAATGGCCTATCTCAATTCCCTGTTTAAGCAATAATTGAAGACTACCCAAAACCTATTTTCAATAAAGGGGATACTATTGTTTAGCATTGCTGCATTTATATCAGGAGTACCAGCCTTTGGCCTATCCATGGCAGCACGAAGATCCCAAATGTCCCATGGTGAGCACAAGTCCATGCCAGGAGTGTTTACCATAGTGCATCTAACAAATGCCTTCTCTTCATTGTCTTGGGACGGATTATCCTTGGGATAGATCTCGGCTATAAACATCATCCCAGCTCTTTCTAGAGTGGTCGCCTGGATTTCATCACAAATTCTTAATAAGTGTCCTATTGGCACAACATCCCGTCACCGAGACTGGGCCTCCTCCAAGAGCCTCCGCCAGTTGGCTCTGTCTTCTGCTGCAGCTCTCCAGTTCCGCACACCAAGCAGGGTTCTCGCATCATAGGCCACGTTGTCCAACCATCTCGTCCTCGGCCTTCCTACCCGTCTTACGAGGTGCAGCTCCTCCATCATTATTTTTTTTGGTATTTCAAGGGTGCTCATTCTGGCCACATGCCCTGCCCACCTTAGTCTGGCCAGTTTAATATACGTGACTACGTCGATGTCTGCATAGAGAGAACTGAGCTCCCTATTTTTTCTTTTCCTCCAGACATCACCCTCCTTTACTGGACCATAAATCCTTCTGAGGACTCCTCGCTCAAAGACACTCAGCTTCATCTCATCCCTTTTGGTCATCGTCCAAGCCTCTGAGCCATATGTCAAAACAGGCCGAACAAGGGTCTTGTATATGATCAGCTTGGTCTTCTTTGAGAGGTACCTACTTCTTAAGTGTCGGCCAAGTCCAAAGACACATCTATTGGCAGCCGTGATCCTTCTTTGTATTTCTTGAGCCATGTCATTCTTGCTATTGATTTCAGACCCAAGGTATATAAAACTTTTCACTCTCTCAAACTTAAAAGAACCTACCTCAAATGGAGAGTTCAGATCAACCTCACCGCCAACTCTCATATACTTAGTTTTCCTCTCGTTGACTTCTAGACCAAGTGGTCTTGCAGCTGCTTCAAGGCTTATAAACGCTTCTCTGAGAGCCCGTTCAGACCTACCTACTATGTCAATATCATCAGCAAAACCAAGAAGCTGTGTCAGGCGATTGAAGATTATATCTTTGGTCTGAATACCGGAGTCTCTTACAGCTTTCTCCTCTGCCAAATTGAACAATAGACAG